ACAAAAGAAAATGGTTACCTCTGTCATCACGCCTATAATCATCCCGAGAGTAATCATCTCTGGAGCTCCATGACCGATCGTCACGTCTTTCGTATCTGTCTTCATAGCGGTCCCCGCCTCCTCTGAAGTCATCATCCCTCCGGTACCCGCTACCAAATGCTCTTCTGCCACTGCCTATCCTGGAATCATACCCTGTAAATATATCCCAAATTGTAATTATCACACTGGAGGGAAGAAAAGGCAAGAAAGTTCTTAAAAGAAAGCAATTTAACTTAATGATGTTTTATAATCACCTCCTCTATCATAGTCTCTGCTGCCTCTGTCATCATAGCGATCACGGCCCCCATATCGATCCATATCCCGGCGTGGACCATCACGGTAACTGTCCCGATACCCATCACGGTATCGGTCTGAATCATAACGATCTCGATCTCGATCTCGATACTCTAGAGGAAAGAGAGACAGGTAACATCATTCCTTTTTTTGGAGGAACACTATTAATAGAAAGAAACAGGATAGCCCATTAGGTCATTTATTTGATTTAAAATTTTTTTCTCTGGTGATTCAATACACATTTCTGGGTTAACAATTCAGGAGGAAGTTAGGGGAGAGAAAATTCTCCATAACGAATTTCCAGGATTAAAGATTTAAATATTAAAAAATGTAAGCGCAAAACACCAGAAGAAAATATAGTTGGACTCTTCTATGCTTGACGCCAAAGAACCAATCAAAGACCACTTAAAAAGTTTAGCACAGAAAAACAACACACACACTACAAATCTGAGAGGCAAAGAAAGTGAAAAAAATATATATAACATACGACAAATGGATTATCTATTATGTAAGTAACAGAAACTAAAATTAATAGGACATCGTATTCCACTACCAAAATGGCAAAGATTAAAATAAATGATACTTCTTGTGTTGGCAAAGCTTAGAGGAATATGTGAATAATGCAGTCAATTCCTACACTGCTGATGAATTTAAAATAGTACAAACACTTTGAAAGTTGTTTCAGAAGTATGTATTAAAAGGTTTTAAATTATGTATACTCTCTGGGCCAACAAATCAATTTCTAGGAAATTATCATGAGCAAGTAACAGGACATATTACAAAGACACATGTACAAAGAGATTCACTGCAATGCTTTTTTATATTAAAACTGATGGGTGCACAAGCTGTAGATTAAATAAATCAGGGGGCACCTATATAAACCAACCATCAAAAACTGAATGAGAAATGTATTTATTGAATGTGTTCACAATATACAGAGGGTACCAAAAAAATGTATACACATTTTAAGAAAGGAAGAAACTGAATTAAAATGGTAATACTCAATATATACTGGTAACAAAAGATGAATACGTGTGTTGTGACCGGTTAGCTCAGTTGGTTACAGTGTGGTGCTGATAACACCAAGGTTGCTGGTTCAATCCCCTCATGGGCCACTGTGAGCTGTGCCCTCCTTAAAAGAGTCAACTATGCCATTATAGCATGAAAGCAATGTGTAACCAATGACCATGGCTGCTCCCCAATAAAAAAAAATAAAAAAAAAGAATACAAGTGAAATAAAGGGGGATATTATTTGAAAAAAGTATGTTATAAACTGTATTTTACACACATTCATGAATACCAATGTCAGAGGCCTCTAAATGCCAGAAATTTGTATAAAGGAGACAAATTGGACATGTAAGTCATTTATAAAAGGTGGGTAGTGGCTATTTAGCTTCAGTTGACTTGATAGATCTTCCAAATTTTCTGAGAGGAGCCGGGAACCCACATTTTTATATGAAAAACAAAACAAAACACTCAATTTCTAAACATGAACAATTATAAAAAACTGAAAACATTTTGGGTTAATAATTTATGTGAGCAGGCCAGAGAGGGATCTTATTTTTATGACTGTTTCCTTTTAAACAATTTCATTTTTTCCTGTTAGTCAAACAATTACATCTAAAACAGAATTGAAAGAAAACAAACATACAAAAAAAATATGCCCTGTGTTTATTTTCAAATTTAATTTCTGGACAAGTAGTGACTCTATATTCAATTTGATTTAGATAATTTAAAAATGATTATAAGCTTGCACTAACAGGGATCCACAGCAAAGAACAGCAGCACATGAATACACTGTTACTAAGATAACCAGGAAATATTAAGTGTTTGGTGAGATTTTACAGTATTATTTAGTGTAATACGCCCCCCCCCCTTGCCCTCAAACTGTCTTTTATGGGCCCAATGCATGGGATAGCAGTCTCTGACCTCTTGGTATATATAGTTTGGGATCTCTAATGTTGGTAGAGCTGACTTTGGGGCTATAACTGAGTCTTACAAACTTGGCAGCTTTGGATAACAACAGCACACTCACTCTTTTTGTTATCCATCCTGCTTGCTCTAAATTCAAGGTTTGAAGTGAGAAAATAGGACCCCTGGTCTGACTGCTTTTTCTTTCAAGAGCCATTTCTTCCTGTTAACAACAGAACTTTTGGCACAAATGCTTAAGTGAAGTACCTCAGGTAGTTCTCTCCAAGACTCTTGTTTCGTCACAAAGACTTGCTCGTAAAATCAGACATAAACTTTGTTTCCTTCTTCCTTCTAAATCTTATTAAAGAGAATTCTTCAAATAGGAATGTATCTCTTACTCCT